CTCGGGTGGGTGGATCGTTAATGGGGATGAGGGGGAGATTGGAGAAGATCTTTGGGGAGTTGGATAAGTTTTATGAGGAGATGATTGAGGAGCACTTGGATTATGAGAGTAGGCCTAAGAGCATGGATGGGGATATTTTGGACCTTCTGCTTGGGGTTAAGAGGGATGGCTTGTCTAGTGTTGAACTCACCATGGATCATGTCAAAGCACTTCTAATGGTAACAATTTTTTTTCCACCCTAAATTTTTATACCTTTTTCCAATAATCAACGAGTTGAATTCATTTTCTTCCTCTGCAGAACATCATAGTAGGAGGCACAGATGCAATTGCAGCTGTGGTGGTATGGGCCATGACAGTCCTCTTGAAAAGCCCAACCATGATGAGAAAAGCCCAACCCGAATTACGGCAGCTCGGTCGAAAGGAACTAATCCCGGAAAGCGAAATCCCCAGTCTACCCTACCTACGCGCACTCGTCCAAGAAACCTTCCGACTCTACCCGCCGGTTCCACTCCTCGTCCCACGAGACACTGACAAAATGCACGATCGACGGGTATGAAATCGAGCCTGGGACCACAGTCCATATCAACGCTTGGGCCATGGGGAGGGACCCCGAATTTTGGGAGAGACCCAAAGAGCTTCGGCCCGAGAGGTTCCTTGAGAGCGAGATGGATGTTAGGGCCCGTGATCCAATGTTTATCCCATTTGGGATAGGCCGAAGGGGTTGCCCTGGGATGGTGATGGGGCTAGTGGCCACCGAGCTTTCCCTAGCCAACTTGTTGTACGCTTTTGATTGGGAATTGCCGACCAGGATGAAAGAGGATGATGAGGATTTCGATGTCTTGCCGGGGATGACGACGGATAAGAAGAAGCCTATATAGTGCTAGATTAGTGGGTTTTTAAAGGTTATTGTATAGGATATTTCAGTGAATAACTAGGGTGAGAACCAGTGTCTGCAAGATCTATGCTCTTATTCTTTGCCCTAAATAACCACAAAAATGGAGAAAAAAAGAATTGATGTTTGGAATGTTCAAGATGTAATGTTTTCACTCTCTTTTTCTTGGCGTCGCTGCTCAACCACATCGATTGAGCACGACATCAAATCGAACACTTGAGTCTTAAACCCGTAGAGAGCAGATTTAACAAAACTGTAACATACAGTTATAATGGCGAAACCAACCACAATGCAGAAACTCAGCATAATCATCAATGGAACTGGTAATCAACAACAAATGAGTAATTAACAGTATCTTGGGAAGGCCTTTTGAAGTTTGAACAGAAATTACAAAGCTCACATGAATCTAGCATGAGGCATTCTTTACCAGACCTGATACACAAATAAATACAATTCACTCAAAATTACCAATTTGATGAAATTCAGAGAGCAGTGTGATTATAACTGTGTCAACATCTGATGGAACACTTTCTTATGTAAATTATCAAGCATCAAATGCAGCTCTTAATCTCCACTGCTAAGAAACACGAGTGGAGATGCCATTCATAAATCCATATATACAATATAATATTCCACGAGAATGAAATCTGTTTCCTCCATTGGGGCAAAAACTACAATAAAGGTCAACAAAAAATTTGACGAGCTGGCATCTTCTACTCATGGACTGTGTGGATAACTGAATGAAACTGTCCGAAGAAAACCAAAATTTGCCTTATGCGTGTTAGTATATGGGATCAATAATATTTAGTCCATCAAAGAACTGACACTTTATTGACTACTGGGAAGCACATGATAGACAAGTACTATCCACAAACTCAACTTTTTTTCAGCATATCTACTGTGTCAGTTATGCTTTTTCCCCAAAAGTTGGAGAAAAATTTCCAATTCCCAGCTAACATATTGATTTCAAACTCACATATCACAGGCAGAACAGTCACCTTCAACTATTGAATAAGTTTCTGAATCACAGCTCGGTCCATCATATCTTTATAAGGCTAGATATAATTGCCCTTCTGGTTCTTCAAGGAGTTTCAAGACTGCACAGTAAGAAGAAACACACCAATACAGACAATGCAATAACTACTAATAAGATTTTTCACTAATATATTCCAGCTGTCAAGGAAGCAAACCCACCATATATTTATCTCTGGAAGTGCTGTTAACTGTTTAAGGTGCAATGCCACTTGATTAGGCAAGCGCAACCCAGAAAAGACTCCTCGACAGCAAGGCAGCATCAGAATCTCTATACCAAACTAATAGTCCAGTTTTTGTTGGTAGTTAAACATACAAACATATGACTTGCTCTTTCCATACAATCAATAACACATTAACTTATCTACAAGCACTACTACTAGAAGTCCTTACCAACAGAAATGTAAATATGATCATAGGTTGCATATTCATTTGTCAGTTGTCACATATACAACGTTATAAATTATATATATATATATACATATAAAATTAAAATAGTTTTATTTATTTCAACAAAGAACAAACACCATAGTCAAGCTGTTGTGTATTCAATTTCTCCACCAACTTATCTATTCACATAGAAGGCCTTCTAACGCCAGGAGAACGATACAGATATAGACCAAAACAACAAGAGAACTAGATCCTCCAGTACTTCAAAATCATTCCATATCGATATCTAAGGTTTTGCATAATAGACTAATAATAAGGACATAAGCAAGACACACTGAGAGAGAGAGAGACCCAAAATACAAGTTCAAAGAAAGGAGACACGTTTTAAGACCTCGTGATCATGCTACAAGAACGAGCCAACCGAAAAGTCAAGCTGCCTCCGTCCAGTGTTGCTTTGCCCTCGACAGGTTCGCACTCATACTTCTTCCTGCAGCCCGGGCAACGCCCGTCCTCTTCAAGAATTCTCTTGTGACAGAAAAGACAGAGCCTGAACCCGCAGGGACAAGGAAGAAAACTCGAATCTGTACAGTCGAAATCCTCAAAGCATATTGGGCATGAAGTCGGAACCGGGCCAAGGTTCTTACATCCCCAAACCGAACCCCGACCTAAGTGCCGTTCTGAGTTCAGGGGAAAGCTATATTGCTTTGAAAGATTCGGCAAATTCTGAGGACGGCAAGCATCATCAGGTCGCCAAGCACAGCAATTGACCATAGCTCCCTTCTTCCCTGCACTCTTTGAAACCGTGCTCGAACCATCAACCTCCGAAGCAGTTTCATGCCCGGTATTGAGACTGCAATCTTGATTCTTGTCATCTTTTGCCTCCAAAGCATCAGCCACGGCCTCCCAATCATCAAGGCAATCATCTCCTTCACCGCCAGGATTCCCACCATCTTCATCGTCACTATAGCTTCGGCCATTGCTGCTACTGCTGCTACTTCGGCCACTGCTGCTACTGCTTCTGCTACTGGCGGTGAAATTGACCCCAGAATCATTACTTCCCAACAAGCTACTGGTGTGGCTGGTTGGGCTGTTAGAGGGCAGGGACTCAGTGTCACTGTAGTGATGCATTGAAGGTTCATAAATATCCTCGTTTCGGGACTTTATCTCAAGCTTGTCCACTGGTCCACCCCTCTTGTTCTGCATATTCACTGATGACCCTTCGTGTGAAGCTCCTCCACCATTGGTGCTCTCTTTGCACCCACCCTTTTTGTTCACTGTATGCAGACACAACACACCTTATCAGAAAGTACATATTATGGAAATATGAGCTAAGATCAATTTATTGCTCAAATTGACATAGATGCAGTAGAACATAACACAATTGAAAGTTGAAAACATTGAAGAAAATAAACCATAAGAGTAATTATGTACTATCTACTGGCCTATATGACAAAACCTTGAGAAAGCCACTGCTCACGGCGGACATCAAGCTTGCTCTGCTTCAGTTTCGCCGTACGGTTTGCCTAAAATCGAAAATTTATCAAAGAATCAGGAATAAAATATTAAATTTTCCATAAACCTCCGAACCAATAACTGAAAGTAAAATATTCCATAAATAAGGAAAAAAAAAATTACAACTTTACCGGATAATTATAACAAAAAACAAGAGAAAACAACAAAATGGTGAGAGTAGAACATGAAAAGACAAACGGAACCAATCGACAAATCGAATCCCAATCCGTTCAGAAATTTCCCCCAAAATGCAAAAAAAAGCGTCAATTCAACATCATAAAATCGAAACAAACACAATCAATCATGAAGAACAAGCAGGTCGAATGCACGTCAAAGGGTTTCTCAATAAAAAAAACAAAATCCTTCAATTGAAGAAAACAAATTACCCTCTTTTTCTTGGAGAAGTCCTTGGGGTTCGATGAGCCCACGGCGATGGGGACGTTGAGGATCGAATCAGACATCGTGGCTGAGTCAACTCTTTCGCGAGCCGGAAAACCCTAATCGGAGATACGATAGAGATAGAGAGAGGGTGTTGGGATATAGAGAGAGAGAAAGAGATAGAGAATGTGGATAACGGAAACGGCTCTGCTTCGCTCCAACCCTTTCGTTTTTTCGACTCTTCAAAACAACAAAGCGTGAGCTGCACAACTGTGAAGGCCTCTCTCTCTCTCTATATATATATAATTATAAATTTTGGATGACGATTGTGCCCTCTATTTTCGACCGAATTTCGGTTTGCCCACCTGAGCAGTGGATATTTTTTAGGGGTCTTTTTGCCAGAAATTCTATGGCACCACATGTGGCACCGTATTATGGTGCCACAACATGATATGACACATTATGACTGGTGCCACAACTATCATACATCATGTTGTGACACCGCCACATGTGGTGTCATAGAATTTCTGGTCTTTTTGCTGGTTGTCACACTTCATGCTAATAAAAAATGGTTATTTTTTTTAATCTAAAAATATATGTATTTGGCGATATTTTCAGTATATTATAATATAATGTTGCAGTATTTCCATATCGGATTATACGAGTCGAATTGATTATCTCGAAATTATTGTATTCATTTTAATAAATGCATTGATTAATAGATGAATAAAAGACTCTGAGTTGGGTAAGCTTGTGAACGTTGTTGAATTGGATTAAGCTCGGATAGTTTAATGAACCCGAAACTCTAAACAGTAAAGCACATGAACCGTTATATTTGTTAATAAGTTTGGCTCGATTATTTCGTTTAAATACCCTGAAAAAAGTAATAATTAATTGTTTACGAACAAGCTCAGTTTGAGTTGTTTAATAAACGAATTCAATTAGTTAGAAAAATTTGTTATTCTCTCAATGATGATCGAAAACGATGACTAAGTGTAAATCAAGAGAAGTGAGAAAAATTTGTTACTCTCTCAATGAATAGGCCTTAAATGATATCAAGGCATCATATATGGATCAGACTTTCCGAAAAGAAAGGAGGAAGTCCAATATTAGTGTTTGAAGTTCTCACATGAACCTGATACCCAGTGGGCCTCCTTAATGGGCCTCGGGGACAAAACAAAAAAGAAAAAGAAATTAGAGGAAATTGCATGCCCTACTGTTATGCTTAAAATATTTAACACTTTTGCTCTTCTTTTATTTTTTTTAAATCAACTAAACCACATAAAAAATTTTCAATTATACCCTAAAACGTGATTAACCGTAACTTCCTTCTCCCCCTTTCTTTTTTTTTTCTTGTCTCTTCTTCTTCTCAAATTCACAGACACAAAACTCCAACCACCCTCCACAATTGTTCGTCGGGGATCCTTCTCCTAGAATCCCACTGGGTCTTGTCGCGATTGTTCGAGACGGCAGATACCCAAGGAGTGGAAGCACGGGTGCGAGACGTTTACTCGCTGCAGATCTGATTTTTTTTTTTTTTTTTTTTTTTTTTT